TGTGTCAGAACTGGATGAGAAGGTGAGACTGAGCCTATGACAACTGAGAATTGAAGAGGAAAAACTAATAGCACACCTTAATTTCTAAACTTCCTCGTTGTTAGATATGTTGGCTCTTACATCCATGTGGATGCACAGTCAGTCACGTGCATAAAATATTTCTTTCCAAATTCACTCCTACCAATTTTTGACTGTAATTATTTTAAATAAATGGGTATGTTTTAAAGAACTGAATTATGAAAGAAGCTTCTTGCATATTTTTGTTGTAACTTCAGCTTGTTACTAAAACTGAGTGGTAGGAAGTGTGCCAGTGTTGCTATTACTGAAGCACATGTTAATCTTTGTCTAAAGACGTGGAGCAGACTGGGATATTTTGGTTGAAGCTTCATTGTCAAAAAAATGCTGAAATGCATACCATTTGAGATCTGCCTGGGATTGGACATATGCCAAGGCTCTTCCCATTTTCAAGAGACCCTGAGTAGATCTAACCATCTGTTTAACTGGTACAATCCATTTTGGATATAATTTGGTTCGTGTGTGCTCTAAGATATTTTCTTTTTTTCAGCTTGTCCTGGGCAACCCAAAAAATGTGTGTTGTGTTCCATTTTTCCTCCCCATCAATCCATGCAATTTGTGTTAATGTCTCTTTAAGACCTGGGGGCCAGACGTGGACCTGGAATGTTTTAACATAGAGGGGTACGTTCTGTCAGGGGGTGGGAGGTTCAAGGGTTTCCTTTAAGAGACTGGGAACAGGTACACAGAGTCCTCTCTCTTTTCTTGCTCAGATGCCAGGGAAGTTGCCTGGCATAGGTCTCCAAGAAACTGCATTTTTTTCAATCCAAAACTATTTCAGGAGGAATTTCACAATACACAGCTGCAGTGCTGAGCTGGAGCCACTGGGTTCAGGGCTGTGGGTTTCGGTGCCCAGTGAGCTGGTTTTCTTTCTCCACAAAGCAGCAGCGCTCGAAACTGCAGTGACCAAACCAACTGGGTCTGGCCAGCCAAAAAGAAGCAGAGGAGCTGACACTGCAGTCAGCAGTGCCAGCTGCTGTCCCAGGCAGTGCCAGTCCCAGGCAGTGCCAGTCCCAGGGAACTGACACTTCAAGGGGAAGGCTGAGCCAAGTCGGGCTTCTCTGCCATCTTGTCTTTGTCCCCTGGGTCATGTGATCTTCTTTGGAGGCCACCATATTGGGATGGGGCTTCTCCTCTCCCTTGTTTTCTTTGTTCCTGGGGAGTCCATAGGATTCAGTACCTTTGTACCTTGTGATTATTACTGTTACCTAAGTTGTGGCTATTTTGCTTTTTAGTAAACTGTTATTTTTTTTTACTTGCACCTTCTCCCATTCATCTCTCCTTATTGGTGAAAGGTGAGCAGTTAGAACAAAAGGGGAGGTAGCTCATTTCTCAGGCTCCACCCCATAGTTTATCTTAAACATGCTGTGCAGAATGTTGATTTAAAAATATGCATCGATTCACTTAATTAACTTGGTAGCAATTACATTTTTTTCCTAGTTAATTTCTATTTGATTTGGCCATGTTTTTTTTTGCAGAAGAGCAAGGAGAGGAGTGAGGAATCTGATTTCTGCATGACCTGAGAGCAAGTGGCCATCATCCATGGACAGCTGTGACAGCACAGGGTGGGCAAAGGGAGAAATCAGGAAGTGTACAGAACTCAGATGAAAGCTCAGTAGGTCTTTGCAATGTTTTGGGAGGTAAGATGAGGATCAGGAACTAAAACTGTGCACACCAGGGATAGGCACAAAGCACTGGCATTCTCCTGGTGCCAACAGCAAGGTGGAAATATAGCCTGTGAGGCCCATGAGGCTGACAGTGCCAAACTGCAAACTGGATACGTGCCTTCTTTTTGTTTCCTCTTCCTGGCAGCATCCGTACTGATTTTCAGGTATTTTCTTGTTATCTGAGTAACAGGTGAGATAGCACCTGCAGCAGTGTTAGACCTACATTTGCTCTACCCCTCTGCTGTCCTCTTCACAGACCTCACTCTCGTTCCTCTCAGAAAGGGAGTAAGCTGTAAATGGTTACAGTGTGTGAGCCACTGATCTGGTTAATGTTGCTGCCTGTGCTTGTGCTGTGAGCATAGAGTAAAAAGAGGTTGAAGGCAGGTAGGAAGAAGCTTTGTCCGCAGACTCACTGCAGCCATGACCACAGCTGTGATAGCACCCTTAGACTCTTTTTCCATGGAAAGTCTGAAGGAGGATCTGGGACCTTGAGGTAGTGTAGTGTTATCCTTCTCTCTGTGCTTCTTATGGGTTGTGCATTTTTCACCCTTTTGTTCTTTATTGATGCTGTGACAGCTTACTGTTTGTCAGTATCCTAGGCACAAAGGAGAGGATCTGGTAAGATTGAGTTTGTGCTTCATGAATGTCCTGGCTAAGAGTGGAAGCATGATGATAATCAGCAGTTTAAATGCTATATTTTAGACACTAGACAAGGTACTGAAAGTAATGAGTTGAGGTTTACCTTCAACTGAGCTCAGCATGCTTGGTATGCTTCTGTTAGAGTTCTTTTTCCTTTTTGCTTCTTCTATGAAGGAAAACTTATTAGATAGGGCTGGGGTTTTATCAGTACAACAAAGCAGACCTGTTAGCTAAAATGTTGCCAGACTAATGTGTTAAATATTAGTCATCTCTAAAGCATGTGTCTAAAACAGTAATCCTTCTGTTTTATTTGATAACTGTCAAAATGCCTACTGAAATAGATAGGGGAAGTGTCAAAAGAAGGGTTAAAAATAATGTACTGTGTCTACAGATAGAACTTTGCTATGGGTGGTTGTAAATCCTGTGAATGTCAGAGCTGGCTTGGGGAGGTAGGTGCTAGCTAGATACTGTGTAGTTGAGGAGCACATCCTGGATCAGACTGAGGGCTTGACCTTTTAGCCTTGATAATGTCAGAGATGTGGGGGTTTGTTGTCCTGTGGAAACACAGCAAAACTGGATAAATCCAGCAAAATTTTAAAACACCTTTTGCAAATTTGTGCAGATGGTTGCATTATCTTGAGATGATCCACAGCTCTCACCCCCCTCAGAAGGTACATGCCTTCTTCCCACAAAGTGACAGAGCCAATGCCTAGACTGAGAGATGGTTATGGGTATTTAGTGCCTTCTGCTAGTCCCAAGCTGGGAAGAATTGTCATCAGGGGAAATTTCTCTGTGTGTACTGGTCTCCAATTTCTTGACATGGTGGCCTTCCAAAAGTTTCATAAAGAGGACCAGTATTGAGAAAATAAAACACGGAGAAAAGACCTTTTTGTTTCAGTAGATATCAGATGTGGGAGCCCAGGAGTCACAGAGGTTCAGCCAGGGACCTATAATGGTAAAGACAAAAAGCACAGATAAACCCACAAAGGCAGGAATTGGTATGACTTGGTTCCCCTTTCTCTGGGAAACACAGTCTACAAGGACTTATTTATGGCCCAGAAGAGACAGCTAGTGCTGGCATTGGTGATGGGCTCCCTCTGGTGCATCATCCCCATGGGGAACAATGCCCTTAGAGACCCAAGAATATGCACAGAAGACTGCCCTGGTGCCAAGTGGCAGAACTTGCTGGGGGGGCCCTGGGGAGCTGCCACAGAGCTCTTTCTAAACCCTGCACAGCACCATCCCTGGCCACCCCTTGCTGTTGAGCTGGACTGATTTAGAACAGTGTTGAGAGTTGGGAAAGATGGGCAGGGTAGACTGGTACGGCCACTTTTGGGGCCCACCTAGGAAGTCTGGAAAGCTTCTTTCCCCAAGATGTGGGCCACAAAGGCCACTTTGTGGAGCATGAGCAGCAGTACCTGGCCAAAATGGCCCAAAGAAGCCCTGACAACAGGCCATTGCTCAGTGCTGCAGAAGAAGGTAAAAAAACACCTGAGGACACTTTACAATCTACCATGGAAAAAAAAAAAAAAAAAACCCAACCAAAAAAAAACCCAAAAAACCAAACCATTCTCTCCCAAGCTGCAGGGCATGACAGGCCATCTTCATGGGGCATGAGCAGCAGGCAGCATCTCAGACAAAAGAGACTGAAGAAGCCCTAAGCAGTGGTCATGCTCAGTGCAGCAGAGGAAGGTAAAATAACCTCAGGTACCATCATCAACCTGTCCCAGGAGAAAAATTCCTTCCTGACCTCAGTGCTGGCGACCAGCTATTCCCTGAGCACTTGAATGAGACCTTTCATCTCCTTGTCACATAGGGTGGTAAACCACTCAGAAGTCCAAGACATATTCTGACTCAACATCTCATCTCAGGGGCTTGTGAGGGTAACCACATGCTCCCAGCCTAATGGCTCTTGGAGACAACATTCCTTTCCGTGTCTGGCAGGACACCAGTGGGTGCTCCAAAGCAATGGAATCCCTTGCAACATCTCTGCACCCTATATCTTAAAGCTACTGCCCCATCTCTGCAGTGCATGAGAACAGAAAGCTCTGCAGTGGTCTTTCTGAAGGGATCCTCTTGGTCTTGCCAGTGCTCTCCAGCAGATAAAGGCCTGAGAGCCTTGGGTACCTCTTCATGCTCTAGATCTTTGCACTGCCAGCAGCCCCATTCAGCCACCTATCCCCTTCCCTTCCCTTCCCCTCCCTTCCCTTCCCTTTCCCCCACATCCTATTACTCCAAGTCTTGTCTCTAGCTCTTGTGTCCCTGCTCATTTTCTGTGCCTCCCTGACAGCCTTCCGAGGAGCGAGGGTGCCCTGGCTGACGTCGAGAAAGCAGAGCAGAAAGTGCCAGTGGACAGGTGGACAGGGAGGAGAACTGGGTGCAGGCTGAGGCCGTGGTTCTTCTGATAAGCCTGCTGTCCCTGCTGCCTGCTCCGCCCGCGGCTGCATCGGGATTTGTTGCAGGTGAAGATGCCGCGGATGCAGCCTTGCGGCTCCGGAGGCCCATGGCCGTGCCCAAAAGTAGGCAGTTGCCATGCACAGTGGGATGTGAGGGGAGAGGGAAAAGACAGCAAGAGAAGGGGGAGAAAGCAAGCCACAGAGACTGTGTCAAACAAACAACTATTTATTTCCTTTTTCTACTATCAAGCGTTCTTGGCTTGTGCCGCCGGCGGCGGGACGGCCTCTTCGGGGGCTGGGGAGAGTCCTGAGGGCCAGAGGCCCTCCTCTTTGCTGGGCGCCGGAGCCCCTCGGGCAAGCAGTCCCTGTCCCGGCCAGCAGCGGAAGTGCTCCGGCTGTAGCCCTGGGCAGCGGGGCTTGCTATTGCTGCTGCCCGGCTGCCGGGCTCCTCCGGGGGCTGCTCCCGCTCTGCAGGGACGGGCGCGGATGGAGAGCGCCCGGGCCCCCCGCGGAGGGTGGCTTCCAACGTTCCAACGTCCACTTCCACACTGGAGACTACAGGGCTGCAGGAGGAGGCCAGGGTGGGAGGGCGAGTCCCCTGGGGGGATGCAGAGGGGCCAGGGATAGCTGTGGGACCCTCCTGCTCCTCCTCCTCCTCCTCAGCATGGGAGTTCAGGAGGTTCATCTGCCGCAGGATCTCATCACTGCACCTGTCAGCCGCAACGTCGATGAGCCGGCGCACAAATGCCACCGTCTGCTCCTGCAGCAAGGGGTGCAGCTCCCGGACCAAGGCCTCCTCACTCAGCCCATAGCGGCACAAATTGGCTACGATGGCACTCTGTGCCAGAGCCACTTCCCACCAGCGGGTCCTGAGCAGCTCCAATAGCTCCTGGTTCAGCCAGGGCAGCAAGGGCTCGAGGATTTCTGAGCAGTCCTGGAAAAAATCTGCCCAGACCTGAGGTGGGAAGCCAGCTACAAAAGCCCTGGGCATCAGCTCTGCAGCCCCCTGCTCATCCTGGTGGTGAGCAGTGGATGAGTCCGAGGGGCTTGGAAGAACTATCTCCAGAAAGTCTTCCTCTGACCGAACAGAGTAAATGATGCTGTTGATAGCCTGCCTGCACAGGGGGCAAGATGGTTTCCTCTTGGCCCACCGCACGATGCAGCCCAGGCAGAACAGGTGGACACAGGGTGTTACAGAAGCGATTTCACCTGGAATGTCACGGCAGATGGGGCAGTTCCACTCTGTCTCCGTGGCCATGTTTGCATGTTGCAGCAGAGCTGGGGACAGCAGCTGCTCTCTCTTGTTGGCGTGACACTGAAAAATAGTCACTTGCTGTCCCAGGGAGATGGGCAGGTAGAAGAAATGCCCAGGCCCCTCAAGAAGAACACACTCACAGCTCCCCAAACACCATCACCCACCCCAGGGCCACCCTGTAGGTATGTTTCCTGAGCCACTCACCTGTGCTGCTGCAAGCACCACCCACAGTACTCAGCTTCCTGAACCAGGTAGGGCTGAGGAAACAAAGTCTTGTGAATGAGAGCTGAGAGTTGCTGACAGCAGCACCCAATGACCTCACGGGCTTCCAGTCCTCCCAAGCACGCTTGCCAGGAGTCCAGGCACGAGTGAGTCTGAGCCAGGCTCTGCCCATGCCCAAGCATAAGCAGTGAGGGATGTGACATCACAGTGCATTGCTCACTCAGGTTGCCATCCATGGAGTCTGTGGACTGCTGATGTTACAGTCGGCTGTTCTGTACTGGCAACCTTGACTGCCTTCCAAATCTGCCATAGCAGACCTTTCTCCCCTGCAGGTACATGACATCAGGAGAAAAAATGGGGTGTGTGGGCCATGCTGTGCCATTATTTGTTCGTGCCTCTGACTTTTACAATCATTTTGAGTCTTAGTCCAAGTGCTGCTCCTTTAGAAGCACGTTACCTGCTAGTTTTACGTTTTTGTGATGAGAGGGTGCTGTGTACATCAGGCACATGGGCTGGCCTATTTAAATCTGGTGAGATGACAGCCCATATTCTCTGTTCTCAATGCTGCTTGCCTGCACCACTCAGAGAGGTAAGGACATCCTGACATTTCATGCCAGTGTCTGTGCAAACTTCTTGCCAGGTTGTTTTTTAATTTAGATTTTTTTTCTTTTCTACAGCCCCATTGGATTGGGGTTGACGGGCACAATGGTGTGGTCATTAGCTCAGTGACCATTAAAACCCTCTGTTCCTCTCATCCCATTCAAAAATAAAGTTGAAAATTGATAGATAACTGAAAAATAAGCATCAAGCACAATTTTGGGCAAACCAGTCAAAAATGTGGAGAAAATCTATACTTCACTGAGTTTTAATCTCTCTCCCTTGTGGTAGGGCTTGCCACAGATTGGGTTACCCAAGCAAGGGCAGGTCTGCCTGTTCTTGCTTTGCTTCCCAAGCTGCTTTGCTTGCAGCTTTCAGGGAGCTGTAAATCACTCCAGCCAGGCTTGCAGCTGGGCATTTTCCTTCTCCTTAGGATGTTTTACTAAAACTACTGGGAAGTTATCAAGTGAGTTACAGCTTGAAACCAGCCTGGTAGAGAAGAGGATTTTTAGAGGAGTTTTCCTGCCTCATCTTCTCAGGAATATCTTCTAGTGAAAAAGTCCTAGGCACATCACAGGATCATCCCTACCACCTTGAACCCTAAAAATACATAACCTCTGTAGTATTGCATTTTATTTAAATGGTATGCCCTGTCTCACCCCTCCAAAATGTATGGTATATCCTAAGCCTGTGGTCCTACCCTGAACCATCATGTATCTGTAATCCCATTGGCCCAAGTCTGATTCTGCGCCCACTTCAATTCCTCTCTTAAGCTGTGCTAGCGAAATCAGTCCCTCTCTTAGCCTTTTCCTCTCCTCTTAGCCCTTCTGCTCTTCTAGCCTTCCCCTTCTCTTGCCCCTTCCCTCCCCTAGGCTCCCCCTCCTTCCCCCTTCCCCCCCAGTAACCATGCTGTTCCCAGGGATGGGACCCCCAATAAACTCCCATCTAATCAGCACCCTCAGAAGCCGTGTGGAGTCTCCTTGCCTGCCTGCTGCTGCCAGCCAACTCACAGCCTAGGGGACCCTCCGAGGACACCCCGGGGTGCCCCCCCCACAAATTGAACCACAACAAACCTCAATCAGTGCCAGCTGAGCAGGAGTTTAGTTCATGTTCGGTGTGAAGTAAAACTTCTAAAAGTTCCTGCTGCTTTGATGAATGAGCCCAGTATCCAGGGTTCTCTGTTGGAGGAAGGCAGATGTGTGTGTCGGTCTGAGATTTTTCTTGTCTCTTTCCCTGCACTGACCCCCTTCACTGGTGAGGGCAGCACCAAATTCTCACCTGGCCCCTCCCTGTGCCCAGCCTGTTGTCATTTTTAAGGGCAGGATCTTCTAAAGATCCCTTGAAGAGTTTTGGTTTATTATGAGAGGGAAAGAGTAAAAAAACCCAACCAATGATCTATCTCTTTGGATAAGACTTACCTGAGCATCCTTGGAGACTCTATCTGTTGTGCCACTGGCACTTGGCCTGGCTGACCCTGGGTTGTCCTGTCCAGCTGTCTCTGGCTAACAAGCAGGATGGGATGTGGTTCTCTAAGGAGATTTGTGTTTCCATGGGGTCCATTAATTCCAGAGTTCATTTTCAGGATGGCCAATCAGTAGCACCTGGGTCAAGAAGGAATCTTCCCCCAGGGCAGATTGGCACTGGTTCCCAGGGAGTTCTGACCTCCTCTGCAGCACTGAGCATGATCACTGTTCACCGCTACTTCAGTCCCTTTTGGCTCGGTTGCTGCCTGCTGCTCATGCCCCATGAAGATGGCCTGTCATGCCCTGCAGCTGTGGGCAAGAAGCTTTCCAGAATCCCAGGGTGGGCCCCAAGGGTGGCCTGGGGCCTGCTTCTTGTCCTCCTGTAGCACTGGGCACAGCCCCCTGTCAGGGCTCCTCTGGGCCCATACGACTCCATACTTGCCTGCTGCCCTCACACCTCCAAGGCACCACTTGTGCCTCGGCTTTCTCTGGCTCTTTTGCCCATTGCAAGCTTGGAGTGGGACTGAGCTCTGCTCTTCCCTTGGCTCCATTTCCTGTGGGATTCTTGCATCCATCCAGAGATGCCACTTCTCAGTTCTCCTGCCTGCAAGCACAGGACAAACACAAGAGTTCTTTTCATGCATTCTTGGCCTGGGAGCACAGCAATGAAGCAAATCTTGGAAGGCAAAAAGTGTGTTTGTCATTGATATGCGTTACACTTTGGAATATGCCCAAGATAGTACACACCTCTTGTGTTGTTTCTTCTGATTCTCATTCTTCATGTTCTGAACCTTCAGGAAACAGGATCTGCTGGGCCTGTATGCCTGCTGCTACATTCTGTAACTCTGTCACTTGCCTTTGCCATACTACAGAGGATTTTTCAAGCTAAACTGAAGAACACAGTCTGTTCCTGGCTACACATGCACATTGTGGTAATGGTTGTGAGCATCAGCTCTGAAACTGATTCAGACAAACAAAAATTAAAATAATATCCTATTTCCAGTTGTAACCTGTGTGTCATGTGTTCATGAATGTGTTTTTGGATCAGAAACTCCTTGGAACTTCACACAAATAACAGTCTCACCATTATTTGACTCATGGTGAATGCAGCTAATAGAATAGAACAGAGTAGTTAGGCTGTGTTAAACCCAGAGCTCTACATGACAAGGTCTGACCAGGTCTGAGGGCTCCACCCCAGAAAGCAGCTCTGCAGTGCAGGTCCCAGGTCCACCCAGGAGACAGAGGCAGAGATGGGCACACCCACAGCAGGGCTCAGGCAGGGACTGAAGGTCCCAGGCAGAGGTGGGACACGTCCCCTGGGCCCTTGGCAGGAGGTGGTGGGGCTGGGGGTCCCAGGGCAGGCCAGTCCCAGCCACTGAGGCCTGTGAGCACCACCAGGACCCTGTCAGGACTAGACTTCAGTGCTCTTCTTCAGACACTGGTGGCTGGACACTTTGGAGACAGCATATTGGGCCAGATGGACCTTCCCTCTGAGGGAATGCTGCTGCCCTCAGGCTCTTGTGTTTTAGCATGTTCTTCCATAGAAGACAGACCAGACATTTCTAAAAAGGAGTACAAGGAGAAAAAAAGAATATTCATGGGGAAATGAATAGGTGTTGCTCACCTCCCAGTGGTTTGCAACCATTTAGATGAGAAGCACATCCTACACCAGACTGAAGGCTTGACCTTTGAGCCTCGCTAGTGTCAGTGATGTGGTGGTTTGCCATCCTGTAAAAACCTATCTCAGTTGAACACTGATGAGTTTAAAAAAACCACTTGCCTTTTGCAAATTTGTGCAGATGGTCCCTTTATCTTGAGATGATCCACAGCCCTGATCCCTTTCAGAAGATACACACCTCCTTCCCACAAGGTGACAGAGGCAGTGCCTAGGCTGAGAGATGGTTATGGGTATTCAGTGCCTTCTGCTAGTGCAGGGCTGGGAAGAATTGTCTTCAGAGATCTCCCCAGTGTGTACTGGTAGGGAAAGATGAGACACAGAAAAGAAGGAGGAAGGGAAGGGAAGGGAAGGGAAGGGAAGGGAAGGGGTGTTGTTTTGTTGTTTGTTTTTTAATGGCCCCTGCTCATGTGAAAAATTATGTTTCATGCACTTATTGGAAAAACAGAGATAAAGCAGTGAGGCAGTCTGTTGTACATCATACAGGCTGTCTGCTCTGAATGTTTGACACTCCTGAAAAGTTAACCCCCATAATTTCTGAGGCAGAATTCTCTACTTTAGGTCTAGGGTTATGGTATCATCTTCCCAGGCAGTTTCAAGTTGAGAAAAATGTTAGCTTTTACCCCAAAGTTTGAGTGGGCAATGGCATGGATGATCTTAGTTTACTTTTAGAGTTAACAGCTGCCCCAACAGCAGCAGCTATGAGGGCAGTTGGAGGATGACAGATTTCTTGCAGTAGAAGCAGCGTGAATTCAGTTCCTTGTTTTATCTTCTTTGGTATGCTGACCTCTAGGGAAACTTTTTTGCAAAACAGTTTGCCAGAGCATTTGTGTAGGGAGCTATAGTGGCTTCAATCAAGTCACAGACCTTTTTCTAGGGACCAGGCATTTGGTGTCAATCCAAAGTAGGCCCTCACATGAAGCTGCTCCCTAAGGTGGTTCCAGCATGCTTGTGTGAGTAGAGGTCTTGGTACACTTAAGCAGGGCTCAGTCAGCAGAGGAAATGCATACTGAGTTAAGAAACAAGGTGATTGCTCTGAATATTTGTGAACTTGGTAGTTAAAAATCTGGAAAGTCCTCTGTGCTCTGAGTTTTTTCAGGGCTGCATACACCTTTCCATCCATGGCTAAAACTGCTTCAGCGATGGATCAAATTGCTAAACAATTCATCCACTTAAATTCTAGCCTGTTGGCTTTGGGAAGCATAAATAGATTTCTTTCACAAAGGAACTGGGGTGAGTGGCAACAGTCTCTCATCAACAGGCAATTAACCTGTTTCAAAAGAGACTGGGCTTAAAAGCCAAAAAGCCTTGATCGACTGTTTGTTTGTAACTGCCTGCACTAACTCTGTCTCTTAGGGCAAATAGTCCTTCCTTCTAGGTGTTTATCTCCTTTCATAGAATCACAGAGTGGCCTGGCTTGGAAGGAAACTTAAAGATCATGTAGTTCCAGCCTGCCCCCCATGGGCAGGGACACCTTTCCTAGTCTCTAACTAAGTTCACAGAACACTGTGATTTCCTGTCTTTGCTATGCTAGACAAGTCACGCTCTGCCAGTCTCCTCTGAAACTGAAATTTCGGTTCACTGATGATCTTTATAGCTTTTTCTGCTCCTGTTGTGAATTCATTTTTCTATGAATAAGATTGATCACAACACACAGAGACTCAGTGGTCTAACAGCATTAATCTTTCTCAGCTCCTCAAGTGTATGGATTGTATTTGGCATTTCACTGGTAAGTCCACTTGTGTCCCGACCAGCCAATACAAAAGTCTTTATCCTTCTCTGTTTTTTTTCAACAGCTGAGTTCCCAGATCATTGCAACATTCTTCTTGTTGAGAAGAACAAACATGGATATAGTTAATCTAGTCAGTTTTTCCACAGGGCCTTGGGAAACATGAATTATTGCACTCTAGTCAATAAACAATCTTAGGACAAAATACAAATACAGTTGCAGCAAAGAAGTAGCAGAGGTAGTAACAAAAACTACAGCAGACTACACAAGACATGTATGTAGACACCAGACTATTTTTCTAAAATGGTTAGAAGACATATGAAAGCATACAGTATGTCAGAGAGTAAAAATGTCTTCTAAGACTTCCATATTTATCTAAAAAAACCAACTAAACAACAGAAAAAAAAACAAACCAAACCAAACCAAACCAAACCAAAAAAACCAAGCTAGAAATTTGAATTCCTCTGTGGCTTGGGAGAAATTGTTCTTTTAGGATAAAAAACAGATTGATGCTGGAAGATTGAAAACAAAACTTCAAAGAACTCTAGGTACATGTTACTGCTTGGGAGAAAGAGAAAACCAGACACCTTCCCCCCTCAAAAAAAAAAAAAAAAAAAACAACACCCCCCCCCCCCCAAAAAAAAAAAAAAAAAAAAAAAAAAAGAAAAAAAAAGAAAAAAAAAAGAACCCCAACCAACCAAAACCATCCTTAAGAAAAAATGCTTACCAAGTCAACAAACAAGTCCTGAGATATTCTGCTGAAAAAGATCTTCAAACTGCTGAAGACTTTATCTCCTTTTCTCTTGATGGATTGACAGTTTGTTCTACATCAGAATATTGCTAAGGACTTATTATACATGGTGGCACAGACAGGACACAGAAACATTTTATAAATAAAGAAGAAAGTACAACAAAAGCCTTAACAAAAAAAAAGAAGTGGCACCATTGTCTGTGAGATGTAGCCTCCTCCTTACCCATGACCAGCATCTATTTGTACCAATTTTGTTACACTAAAGATGGTGAACAGGTGGGAACAGAACAGAACAGTCAGAACAGACTTATGTGCTTAATGTGCAGATAGAACAAAATAATTGAATGAAAAACAGAATATGAATTGAGGTTTTGGTTTTTTGGGTTTTTTTCCTTAAATAAAGTTAAATTACCTAAGTGTTAGTTCAAGTTTCCTCCATGGGATGCTTGATAGGGAAGTGCTTTTCCAAAGGCTCAGTTTCTAGAGCTGGCATGAAAATACTTTTGGAGATGATATTATTTTGGCTGCAACTGTCCAGGTGTGTTTTTCTCTAGTGTTTACCACTGTTTTCACCTGCTGACGATATAGTAATACCTTGCAAGGTATGAGATCCCTGCAACCAACATTCCTATGGCACAAAATTTCAGTTTGTTGTGGAACAACCATCTTTAGAGAGTACTGGTTCTCACACCACTGCAGGTGCCACTGCTAAAACCTAATCTGGAACTGCTCTCCCTACTATTTGCTGTTCCACACTAAGCCTTGTGGAAATAAGCTGTAATGCATCTTGAATTTTCTGGCTCTTTGTGAATCCAGCAATTGGCACTACGCCATCAATGTCTTCAATGCTTCTGAAGGATTTTATTCTCTGTAAGGAATCTGTTCCAGGTCTGCTTTGTCATGTCAGGAATCTATGGATAGGTTTCCACTGTCAAATCCTATGCTGCCATCACCTGTCAGCTGACAGCTGACATGATTGCTGTTGGCACATCCCCCTACAACCTGGTGTCGCTCATTTCCAGGAAGAGCAAACTTGCTGTCATTAGCAGCTTAGCTTCTAGTTAAGCTTCTCTGACAAGTCATGAGGCTTGCTCCAGGTGCAGAAACACCAGCACTCTACTGCTAATGACACAGCTCTTTCAAATAACATATCCCTCATCCAGAAATGCCAGGTAATACTTGGGAATAAATTATAAATTGCATCCTGTGTTGCTTTGTCCAGATCTGCCCGGTGTAATTATCCACAGTTTCTACAGCTGCTCTGTGATGTAGGGTTGTTGGCTTTCTGGGTTTTGCTTTTGTTTTTTTTTGCCAATGTGCTAGAGGCCTGACGGCACACTGGCTTTGCTGAGTGTGCTGCAACAGTCCTGGAGAACCTCTTCATAATTGCTGAATATTCACATACAAGGTAAGCAGAAAAGGATGTCAGCAAAGCTGAGAGCA